ACCCTACCTACAGACGTATTATCACTTTACATTTCAAATTCTGATACCGGATTTACGCAGGGAAAACGTGCCGCGTAGAAAGCGTTTATTTACTTTACACTGGCACTGTGGTGGTGTACACTGTTGGAAGTCCGTACATCTGAATACACCGCAATAATCCACCGCATCATTGCTTGCACTCGCCTATGGGAATCATTCAATCATGTCACGGCTCCGTGGCATTTAGGCGCCTGCAGTGCACATGCAACGGAAGACCGAGTCACCGAGTATGATCACTTCGCTAGCAAAATTCGAAACCATCTGAGTCGCTTTTCTGACACAGCAATGATTTCATAAATGCAAACGATTTTTTTCTCTCAAGTCGGTATAATACACGTGTAGCTCAATGTCGTGATTGTAATGAACGAATCCGTGAACAAAATCCGACAGAAATTTTTGTAACAACGTAATAAATCCGAGGTTGAAAGACACATTAGCAGTAAGATGACATGGAACATGGACACGTGTGCCATAACGTCGAACAAGTGTCAAAAAATAAGTAATTCAAAACTATTGCAATTCCAGACAGATCGAAGGAGAATTGGTTTATTGTGATTAGTTTTCACGAACTGCCTACGAAGAAAAGAACGATTTCTGAAACGAATACCGATTTTCCTCAGAAAATCTAGAATTTCCCTCACGAATAGAATCAAATATCCATCAAACAAGCAAATTATGTCCGAAATCGCCGTAAAAAACACCTGCTCACAGAACAGACGACGTGTTTGTGGCGACACGAAGATGTTGTGATAGAGAAAACACCAGTTCGAGGGATGAGCAACGAAAAATTGATACCGGCTCTTACTGATTCTCCAGTTCCTCGACTATGTTTTCGAGGGAGTGCGAAAACAGCGGACCGAAATGAGACAGTTTCGCACCGGCACAGAGGTTCATCGTCGTTCGCCGTTCGCCTTGCTTCCTATCGTTCGGACAGTGGCGACACGCGAGCGAGGGTGGTTCGGTTCGTAGATCGCCTCCCTTCGTAGGCCAGGCGATGCTGAAAATCCTGCGGTGTCGTGGCTTTCATTGAGCGAGAGACGGATGGGGAGGGCGAAAACGAGATTACCCCGGGAGGCAGCATGGACTGAGCCAATCAGCATTCGGACCGATCAGCAAGGGCGGAAACGCGGTGCTGGCGGCTCGACAGAATCCTGTTGTCGTCTACACGGGTGGCACGACAAAATGATGATGGCCGGTCGAACTGCTGTTGCTCCCCTCACAAGCAATAC